AGCAGGATAGACATTTAAGAAGAACAGAGAAAGATGGTCCAATTTACTAACTTTTTAATAATAATTTTTCTCCACTATCTTGTGAAGGGACTGTGTAGCTCTGTAGCAGGTAAGTGATCCCAGTGACCTAGGACCAGTTTTGAGTCAGTGGAATACTGAGAACAGAATACGTGTCCTGCCCTTTAGCTACTATATTATACCCTGTACTTTACTTATTAACCCTATGTAACACTGTACTACAGTGAGTTTCATTTTGACTCAATACCAGCCACTGTGTTTGCAGAGGAGACACTACATTTTCCATCACTTGTCTATAAAATACTATGGTATTTAGAAAAGGCAATCGATTTGAGTGCTTAAAAAGCATCAGAATAAGCTTATGAAAGAAAACAGTGGGTGGTGGTTGCTTATGTGAATGCCCAAAATGATCTAAACTCGTTTCTATTGAATTTCACCAAATCAAAGATAATCGTTTGCCTTTACGTAACCTGTTTGGAAAAATGGCCATAGTCATTCAAGAAGATCCCTTTTCCTCTTGTCTGTCTTAAAACATTGTCAAGTCCTGAGTGTCCAGAGGAGCGAGTGAGCAAGCTGATCTCGCACGACATGGCTCTGGCAGCCTACAGGAGACATCAGTCTTGGCAGTGGAATTGGCACCGAGTCTGCAGGGTGCAGAACTGGACAGGAACCAGTCATGTCCATTCCTTCCATCTCCACGCATTTTACGTTAATTCTGACTTGTCATGCCTTGGCTCGAGGGTCAGCTTCAGTGACGATGTGCAGTTAGCAGAGGTCTTCGGTTATTTTGATCAATCCAAAGCTGAATCAAGTCCCTTCCAGAAGAAGGCTTCTGCAGAGCTGAAGAGGAGGAACGTAACCAATTCCTTGGTGAGAGATTGCAGCAAGGAGGTGAACCGCTGCTGCTCTGAAGTCACCCCCGCTTCCCAAGCACGCAGGCAGATGCGGAGTCTTCTGGGTAGGGAGAAGCCTTGAGTACACGTGTGTTCGGTAGGAAATGAGTGAGGAGGGAGTGTTGATCTGCAGAATCGCTGGGGACAATGACTATTACTAGCCAGGTTGGGGGAGGTCATGCTACAGTGCTTACTCAGCTGCAGTGTTGCAATGGAAACAATTGTATGTTTCTAGCAGGGCATTACAAGAGCTTGCTCATTCATAATTGCTCTCTTATCTTACTCCTTGGCCACAGCAATCCAAACTATATTGAGCAAAGCACATAAACAGTTTCATCTACCTTCATTATACAGGTAGGAATACCTGCTTAATTTTTAGTGAATTGTACTGCTGCTCTGATATTAGTAATGCTGACGGACTTTATTTGTCAGTATTCAGGAAGAGCAATGCTATAAGCACACAGCTTAATTGTGATCATTAAGCACACTTAATATTTAGCAGTTATGATATGACAGTGCAAATATTGCTTGTGGTTTTGCTGACTCACAGTGAAATTCTCAATATTTGTTCAAAACAACATTCATTTAGTGGAAAATGAGGGAACTGGGTTCACTCCCTCTCCCCACTCTTTTCTTCAAATAGAAAGAAAAGCTCGTATCAATTAGTATAAGAGGTTGTTAGAAGCAAAAAGCTGGCCACTCTGGGAACGGTTGCTCATTCTGTCCCTCTATATCCAATTTTGTTTAGTTTACTGACAAGGTGACCTAGGACAGCAGATTCCTGCAGCACAGGTTTACCAGCATGAAGAGTCAAATACAGCACATGCAGTTGTCCTCCTGCTGCTGGACAACGTGTGGTGTATTAAGACCAAGGCCATTCGTACAGGTATTTCTGGGCATTTGCCATGCGGATGTTCCCAAAAGGCAGCCTCCTACACGTCCTAGCCCCCTCTCAGAAAGTAGTACAGCACTTTGTACCAGTTGTTATCTGGCCTGTAGCTTCGTACCGGGGGTGGATTGCTGCAGCTCGGCTGAACGGCTGGGTAGGAGTATTATGCAATGCCCTAAGCAGAGCCCGGGCAGTACCCCCTGCATACAAAATTGCTCTGTATAATTTCTCAGTAAAATTATCACCTATGTGAATGTGAATGATTTGTACTGGACAGGCTGGAACAAAACCACATACAGCTATGTTGTCCTTCAGGTCGCAGTTAAATTAATGAGTGCTCTGACAGCTTTTCTGGTTTGTACAAATAAATTCCTGAGCTGAAAGCACTACTTGCCAGACTTTGCTGACAAGCTTCCTGTTGGGGTAGATCTGTTCTAGTATCTCCCACAAGATTTGTTTGGGTTTTATTTCTTTTTTTTTCTTCCAGACACTAGCAGAACTTCAGCAGCTAAATCTGCTGGTAGTTGTTCCTCCTGCCCCAAACCCTTCTCCTGCAACAACACACTGACCTCAGCCTCCTGCAGCATAAAAAAGCCCTGTGGCCCTGTTTAAGGTCAAGGTAAAAGGACTGTTGCCATTTCAAACACATCCTCTCTCCAAATTGAATGCTTTATTGCAGCTAGTACTATTTGTGACTAGAGGCTATAGATCTGCAGGGGGATTGCTTAACGATAAGCTTGTTGATTTGTCTCTCAACATGGCTGTACCCAGGCATAGTCAAAGCCCCTGCTAGAGAGGCATCCACCTGTCCCTCCCTCCTCCATAACCCTTGTTGCAAGATAACTCCTCTCATAAGTGCTTTTTAAGGCATTTACCACCAGTGACTTTTTCAAGCCAAGACCATAAGAAGGAAGGATACCTCTTAGCCATAAGCTTGCTGATTTATTGCTGAATGAGATTATTGCTTTAAGTGAAACTGTGAGAAGCAAATGGCACAGAAAGGGCTGTAACTTGGCGGCAGCAGACAATGCTAAGGTAGCTTAGTTATCACAGTTATTCCCTTTGCTCTTCCTTCCAGGCAAGGGAAATGTTGATTTGTTCTGGGACTGGGAGAGTTTGCTAGCTAAGAAGGTGAAGGGCTCAAGCAGTGTTTTCCGATCTGTCACAGTCACTTCCCACAGTCTCACTTTCTCAGCCCTTGCCCATTGCTGTGCTGCTTCTGTTTCCACTTGCCTTTGGTCCAGGAGGTCAGTTTTGTTTCCCAAGACAATAACTGTTACCTATAAACAAAACAAAAGGGTGAACTTTATACAAAAAGCATCCACCACGCACAATGCTTTAAAACAGCAGGCAAGTAGCAACACAGTTCAGACCTGTTCTTTAACTTAGCACTGGCACAAGGTAAGCTGTGTGTAGGTTGGAAGATCAGGGTCTGGGATTTGAATTAGCCTCATCTACTTGTAGGCTGGGAGCTGGTTTTAATCATAGGGTATGCAGGACTTCCCCTTCTCCCCCCGATGGCTTGAAGGGAAACAATACCCAAGAGAGCCAAAGTTAAACAGCCCTATTCTCCATTTACTTGGCAATTGAGCTGCCCTAGACAAATGATAACAGCGTGACATCTGAGTAGGTCAGAGCAGTGGATGCTTGAGAGGTGAATAAATGCACAGCAGCAGAGAAAGCCTGGATCCCCACAGCTGTGGATTTTGCCCAGCTGGTTTTTTCCCAAGCCCCAACCTGCAATATAGCTAAAGCCAACACTGCCACAAGGCAGCCTGTGCAAGCAGCCCGGGCAGGCTGCCGGGCAGGCTGAGCTGTTACCCGCTCCCGCATGCACGGTAAGCCACGAGAGGGACCTTAGCAGACAGTCTTCTGTCGCTGAAAGGGTCAGATAAGCACCAGCACCATCCTCTGGGAAGCAGTTTCAAGAGCAGCCGGTTAGCTAACTAGAGCAGCACAGCTGTATCAAGTCTAGACCCTTAGTTGTAAGGATCAATCAAGTGACATCTGTATCACCGAGACAGAACAGTATGGCTGAGCTCGGTGGCCTGCCCGGTAGTTCAGTTCTAGGAAGTGCTGAAGATAGTGCTGGCCACTTAAAGTTACTGTTCCTGCCTAGTTTAAGTTAACATTTTCTAAAAATGTTTTACCAGCATCAGCTCTTAGGGGAAACCATGCCTATATTTATAGTTCAAGGTCCTTAGTCAAACTCTGGTCTCATCTCTACACTAGTGGTTTGACAAAAATCAAGTGGTAAAGTCCTGTCTTGCTAATGATTTGGGGTTTTTGCTGTGGCCACACCTGCTTGCTCTTTCCTGTTCATCAGGCTAACTCCAGGATGCCATCTGTTTCTTTGCAGCTAGAGATGTTTGTCCTGTTCCTGTGAGGTCTGAGGCTTCCTTTCTTTTCTATAGCAGCCCATCCATGGTGTGGGGAAAAAATGTTTTTCCCTCTGCAAAAGGCTTTGAAAGAAGCTATAATCTTCATATGCATTTACCGCATGCTCCAACTGAATTTTACCTATGGTTAAACTCTGTCAGCGTGAGAGAACACAATCTCTATTTAGTATAAAATTTGGCCAGGCTTTAAGATGCGTGCTGGAGAGCCCCCACAGCCAGCAGAGGCAAGGAACCAGCCATCACTGCTTTCTGTCATCTGCCACACAACAGGGGACTGTGCCGCTCAAGAAGGTGAAGTTCTGCCCGCTCAGAAACACCAGGTGTTGAGATACATCCCTAACTCAGTTACGGATGCATTCTAGCAGAACCCAAACTTTAAGCCTTCTGATGCTGTCTTAAGGTAGGACTCCTGATCTCACCTTCTACCTGCTTCAAAGCATATTTTATACGGACTAGAAATCACAGGAATAAAACTAATTTATCCAGCTTATTGTGGGTGCTGCTTTTTTGACTATGTTATCCTCAGTCAAGATCACAACTTTAAACTCTCCCAGAGGATAAGCAAATTGGCTGTTTTCTAAAATACCTGCATGTAACGAGAGAGAGTTCTGGCAGGTAACACAGAGAGAGGGACGCAGATCCTGTTGGGGCTGTGACTCCCTCTCCGCATTACAACAGGCTCTAAAGTAACAAATCGGGGCCCTCACAAAACACAGCGCCTGGGAAAAATTTCCTGCTCGTCCACCTTTCCTTGCCCTGCAGGGGAGTTATGATTGACTCCTGTATCCCTGATATACGTGACAGTCTGCAGCTCATACCAGCCCTACCAGCTAACATACCTCTCCAGTGACTGCACATTCGGCTGCTGTCAAACTTGAAGCCTGCCTTCCTCCACCACCCTATGTGCTGTCAGTACTAAACAAGTTACATTTTCGGGAAGTCTCTCCCTACCATTATCCAATTAATTCTTCATGCACTTTTTTTTTTTTTAAACAGCATAAAACAGACATTTGGAAAGCTGTAGGCTAAAGACATTTAACAGGGAAAACTACTTGAGAATATAAAGATACTGTAAGAAAAGCCATAATGCTAATGCCACATGCAAGTTATATTTGTTTAGCTAAGCTGGAACACTGTCAGCTGAAAACACTAGCTGCTTTCTAAGGGAAAATAGAGCAGTCATTTCACACAATTGAATTGATTCAATATGGTTGTTAAAATACATTAAAGCCGCTTTGCCAATTGACTGATGTCTGGGAGACCCATTGTCAATTACACTAGTTTGTAAGCCATCAAGTACATGAATACAAAACAAACAAAGATAATGCCCTTCGTTATTTTTCTATGCACTTGACTTCCCGTGTACAATATCTAAAAAAAACATATGAACTGCACTGCTGTAGACCATATGTTTTATTAGTCATAAGTGTCCTGGCTGATGCATTCAGCTAACTGAATTTTAGCTGTAATAGAGGAAATAAGGAGGAAAAAAAACCACATTCTTTTGCATGACCTACATGGCATGTGAATTAGGCTTTCCCAGCATGAGAAAGCTTCCTTTTGCTGGATTGCCCAAGGCTGTGGGTACATTCATTTTCCTTTGTGTGAGAGTTTTGCAGAAACAAAATCTATGCTTTGCAACCTTAACTTCCTATCCCTGATACACCGATAAGCCAAGCAGTTAAGGCGACCATGCATTACCTCCTTTTTGTCTCTAAAGACGTCGATCTCCTTTTTGAGCAGCTCGACTCTTTGGAAAGCTTCGAGGCTGGTCACAGCGTACACGAGAACGAAGCCATCAGCGACAGAGAAATAGTGTTTTGGCAATTCTACGCCCTCCTGCAGACCCCTGGTGTCATAAAGCCGTAACTGTTCCTTCACGCCTCGGTCTGTCTCCACCGATGCCAAATACACATCTTCCATTGTGGCACCCTCTTCTAAGCCTGTTTTAAAACAAGCAGGGAAGTTCAACTGGTGTAAGTACAGCACCGCTATAAGAATTATTTGCAGTACAGCAGAATTTTACCCCACAATAGCTTTCAGTGCGTGTTTTCCAGAGTGACTTGACCTGGACTCGACCTTACCTGACATCCCCATGAAGGGCTGTATTCATAGATCGCCGCACCAGCTATTTACAACAGTGACACTGCTGTGCTCATCTAATGTATAAGCACATGATTATGCCTGTAAAATTAATCTATACAACATGCATTTTCAGGATAGGATAAGATATACAGCTCTTCCCCCAGGTTCCCAAACTCCAACCACCCAGTATACCAGTTCTATGCCAAACATGCTGCAAATGGGCCTGCTCAAACATAACCCTTTTGGAAGAACAGCCAAGGAACACCAGATAGTCAAGTACTAACATCTCGAGCCTACTTCTTTGCTTCTTACTGAGCTGGATCACACGGCAGAAGCAGGAGCCAAAGGAATAATTCTGGAAATGAGTGTGTATTGATGGTACAACTAACCAACAAGTGAAATCAAGCCAGAAAGGGAAGGGGATGTTTGCATGCAAGCAAAGTTGCATGCTATATTTACTCAAATACACAATGAGCTTTTTCCATCCCTCAGGGATCTAAAATGATTCAGATTTGCTAATAGGAGCAAGCTCATCTACTGCAAGGTAAGAGCATGCACACGGTAATAAGATTTCATATATATATATAACCTGCTCCATGGTAACTATCTGCATACTGGCTCTCCTTCCTCTCTCCCCATGGTAAATGTGAGGTAATTCAAAGCAGTTTACTTTGAACTAATTAGAACATTCTTCTCCAAGCCAAACCTGAAAACACATAGATCACCTTAGCTTCGTGGTCCCCTGGATGCAGATGCGTAAGGTTACAGGTCCCAACAAACTATGTATAGTGTAGCTGGGCTACTTTCAGAGTCAGTTTTAAGTATTCATATAAACCTTTTGCGATCCGCGTTTTTGCCTCCACTGCATTCCTGTATACATGAATTGTTTGCCATTGCAGGGCTACAATAATGAGCACCGCATTATTCTCTTTGTCTGCCAAAAAGAGACCATATTAGCGCATTGTTTAAGAAAACACGGGGGATTATCTGGCCTGTGAAAATAAGGATTTTGCTATATTCAATGACACTATTCAAAATACTTCACATTGACAAACAAGCTAAAGCATTCCACCCACGCTGATGGTCTCCCGTGATGTATGCAGCATTCCTGTGCAGGAAAGTGGCACAAGCTGTTCTTTTTGCCCCTCTCTGTGCACTCTTCATAGGTTTGCAACGAATTAATTTATCTCGCCTCCAAATATAGCCATGCTAACCTAACGTGTGACAGCAAAACTGAGAGCAGAAGGACAAAACAAAGGTTAATAAAAAGAGGAAGCGCGAAGGCATTCCGTGTGGTTGGAGAATGTGTTACACGGGCGTTTTTGAAGACTGAAGCAGGTAGTAGAGCCCTTTCTGGTATAGGACTGGTTTTTTTCTTGCTCTGCTTCATTGCATTGTACAGACAGGTCAAGGAAATATCTAGCATCAGTAAATACTGCTTCGGCAAGAAGGACTGAACCGTAAGTGCCTAAGTTTTCTTTTTAGAAAGCAAAGAATAATGTACAGGTTTTTACCATCTAAATGCTGCACTGTAATTCAACAGTCTTTAATATATCCACATTCTCCTGAGACAGTCTCTTCCTAATAGTATTAAAAGTAGCAGTGAAAATTATGTTTTTTAACATCCTACTTGAAAATGAAGAGGAAAAATTAAGGTCTGAGCGTCAGCAGAATAGAGCAACAAATTTTGATGTGAAATGGGGGGGGCACTTTGGAGGGAACTGGAATTTATGCATCAGTATCAGGTTCCAGAAATTTCACCTACGTACATTAGGGGAGGGAGTATATGCAAGTAGATTCCTAAGCAAACACAGATAATTTTTAGACACAGCTGTGTCACCTTATTCTAGGCCCCGCTTCCAAAGCCCAGACCACATGCTAGCCACATCTTGCTGGCAACGATATTTACACTTCTTGTTAGTACCTTCCCATTCACCCACTTTCCCAGCCTCCATTCAAACATCTGCCAGGCAAGTTGTTATACGAGCAATGGAACTAGTCAGGAAAGCCCAGTGTCCTAGGAAGGTGTCTGGCACCATCTCATCCTCCCTGTCACAAGGACCCCAGTTCTCCCTTCCTTCACTGGCATCCCCAGGCGTCCTCCCACCTTCGCTGCCTGGGTGGGCAGGGGCAGCTTGTGCTGGGGAGTTACTGCTGCCAGCTCGAGTAGGTTTTCCTTGGAGGAGAGCATTTTCGTGGGCCTTTTCTCTCTCTCCTGCTACCAGTTTTTCTAAATTTACAGAAATGTATTTTGAGATACCTACTGCTGTGACACAGATGAACGGGCAGATGGAACCACCTTTCAGGTTCAGAAGCTATGGGGGGAAAGAGGAACTAACAAGACAGTGAACAATCTCGCGGTTTCTCTGGAAACTAAAGATGAAAAAAGTTAAGGAGGAAAGGGAGGAATAGACACGATACCATTCTCTAGGGCCTACTTAGCTGGTGCAAGTCTTGAGAGAGGCAGAAAGGTCTTCATCTATCTTACTGGCTGCTGCCACAGAGGAACTGCAAGGGGAAGCCTCAGTCATAAATTGGGCGGTGTTTCAACCCCTGGTGGTTTCCCAATGAGGAAAAGAAAAGGTTCAATATACTAATGAATACTTCACACTCAGGCTAGACAAGGCAGAGATACTGCAAATACCAAAATAAAGCAAAATTTGGTGGATGGAATTTCAGAAGTTCCCAAATGACTCTCGAACATAAATGCAGTGCAAATTTTGTGTCATCTTGAGTACTTTTGAAGATCTCCTATGTAATCTCTCCCTCCCTCTTCAGGAATTTAGCAAATAACTCCTAAAGCCTGCTATTGCTTGCGTTTCTACAACTCCAGGATAACGGGCTTTGCTTACTTACATCTCAAATGACAGTGTATCAGAGGATCTCTGACTTGTAGAAGAGCTCAACAGGACTCAACAGGAGCTGGTCTATTTAGATTTGGCTGCTAGTTAAGTACGGGTCCCACCAACCACTAGCCACAGTTGTGACCCTCAATTGCATACATTCAGCTGCATTTTCATCCATTTCTAAAATACAAAGCTGACTGCAGCTCTGCCAGGAGGTATTTTTGATTTAAGAAACAAGGATGTAAGAATGCATAATTTGGTTAATTAGCCTCCACATCTTTGAGCTGTGAAAGCTAAAACCCCAAATCCCTCCAGCTGAGACCAAGCGAGGCAAATTCTCTCTCATTATGGGTTCTACCACAGTAATATATGGTGTTTTCATTCCCAGCTAGTAAGATGATTTGAAGTAGCTGCTTATGAATAACCTGACCATACCAGCTATTTATGCAGCCAGGAGGCAGAGATAAGGAAAATCGTATTTTCTACAGGAAAAGTTCTCATCTCCTCCTGCTTAGCTGATAAGCTTTGCCATAGGTTGAGGGGCCAGAGATATTTTAAGGCAGAAGGAAGACTCCCTTCTGTGCCATCACTAAACAGGAGCACTGTTTAAGGAAAAACACTTATTCTCTTTGCAGGATAGGTGCCAAAGTTAAGCCAGCAGCTTTCCTGTTAGCTCTCTCAGAGAGCTCAGGCCAAGCAGTGCCAGGTACCACAGGTATTTAGTGGGACAAACTGCTGCTGCCAGTCAAGGACCCATTTCATGACCAAGGAGAAAAGACTGGCCCCTCTTTCTTCGGGACTGCAACAGAAGGTGGAGGATTTGGACAAACACAACATTGAAGCCACAAAAAGAGAGATCGTCCCAGGCAACATATACATACATGCAAGCCTTAAAAACTATTTGGCCTGACCTATGGCGATATAGTCCCTGCGTGACTCAAAGCTAAATCTGCACCCATTTCAAACATCTCCTTTCAGGTTTTGTTTGATTCCTTGTCTCAGTTTAGCCAGAGAAGCTGCCGTGCAATATGTACATTACTTTACGTGGCTCTGACAGCATCTCTCATCTTTCTGCCCTCTCCTTTCTCATCCTAGGGCCCAGGCCAAACAGCCCCTCTTACAGTTTTAAAAGCCTAGCACAAAGCCCAGTGCCACACACGCTCACATGCTCCAGGGACATAGATATTCCCTTTTCGGGGGTATTTCTCCCTCCCTACTAATTTTTCCTCTGACCTCAAGCAATCTTAGTGCCTTTGCAAGAGTGCTAGCTGCTGACCATGTAAGCAACTGCAGCACTTAGGGACTTCATCCATGACAAGCCAAGGAGAGCTGAAGGCACACATTTTTCTAGGAAGAAAAACACAGCGCAACTGGGTTTACAGCATCATCACCAAGCACGCGGCCAGGAGCACGGGCTCAAAGCCAAGAGCTTTATATAGCAGCATGAAACCTCCAAGGACACTAATCACTTCCCTGATAGCAGCTGTGCCACCACTCCTTTTTACAGGAAAGTCAACAAGAGGCACGTTAGCACCGACATAGACTCAGGGCTGATTTACTGCCAGGAGGAGACCCCCATGTCAGTGGCTGGGACACCTCGGAGGATAGCACCAAACCTTGTGCTCTGAGCCTGCAACCAAGTTCGAGCACGCCTCTTGTCACCGGGAGGAGGATGTGGACGCCCTCAGGAACAGCGAGACTCCGTGCGTTGGCTCAGCAGTCCTCCCCATGGCACCCCGTCCCCTCTCCCCGTCCCTCGGAGCGGCCGCAGAGCTGCTCCTGACGTCAGTCAGGAAGCACAGGTTTTGAAACAGCTTGTGTCCATGCTGCCGTACCCGGTGAGCTGCCTTGCTCCTTGGCTCTGAACAGACAGGCTTTCAGCAAACACACTGGTCCTTTTCGCCTCCTGCCAAAAAGGCCAGCAGCCAAGATGTACATGTCAGCTTTCTGGAGCTCACAAGCTTTAGGAAACAAGGATTGAGATTCAGTAATCATGTTTTAAGCGTAGAGGGGCCAGCTGTGCAATGGTAGCACCAGCAGCAGGTCTGTGCAGTTTAAAGCTGCAGCTGAGGAGCAATCAAGGACTCGCCAGTCCTCAAATTCTGTTCTTACCCAGAGAGACCCTCACAGTGGTGTCCACAGTTTGAGGGTTTAATCAACACAGGTTGGAGCAGTAGCTAAAGATCTTCTGGGAACCGTTTTCACCATACTTCAGGCACCTTCTGCCAGAACTGCCCGTGGGCTGAGGAAGAGGCAGGGGGGACGGTGGCCACTCAGCGGGACTGCCAGAAACACCAACATATTAGTCCATCCCCCAAAATGTGCCTGATGGCACAGGCGGGTGATATCGAAAGCGCTGGGCTGTGGCCGCTCGTCCCTTGGGGCTGCAGTGGCTCCGTACGAGCCCTCTCTTTACTCTGATCTTGACTCTGCTACTTGCCCTCTTTCTCCAAATATCTTGGGAATAAGATTTGACCAAAATCATAAAAAACGGGAGGCTACCTTCTTCCTTCTCCCCTTGCACCCCCCCTCCGCTATCAGCTGCTTCCTCCCTTACTGCTACCTCCGTAAAATAAGAGCAGAGCTGCGGGAAAGGAAAACGGATCTTTTTGGGAGAGGAAATTCTTCATGCACATCGCGCAATGGCTGCATCGCGCAATGGCTGAGCTGGAGCGGAGCGTCCGGGAGCGACAGAGGGACACCTGCAGCTAAACCCCGGGCACGAGGCCTCCCTCCGGTTATGTCAGCCAGTATCCATGACGTTGTATAATCGTGTACATGGCTGGTTCCATAAATAGCTCCTCCGATCAGCAACACCCGAATATCCTTCCTGCCTGGGTTACTAATAGGAGCTCGGGCAGGAAGTAATGCAAGGCAATACGATTTAAGCAACGTGGCCTTGCTCACGCTGCGCGGGTGTCTGTGACAATCGCCAAGGGCAGAGGAGAGGCAGGTCGGTAGCAAAGGGAAAAACCTTCAGCCTGCAGGTTTTGCAACCTGCACGCTGAAAGCTACACGGGGCTACGTGCAGAGGGCTCTGTAGGATGCTGGAAACAGATGTTGCTGCAACATTAGAGGAAATCCTCCTTTTAAACAAGGCTATTAGCACGCAGTTCTGTATCACGCTTTGCCAGCAAATTCCTCCCATCCACACATGTTAAAGGCACAGTGCGTGCAATGCACCGTTCTAGAAATCCTAGTGTTTATCCAATAACTTACCCCAACATCTAATTTGCCGGCCCAAGGAAAAGATACAAATGGACTAGGCATCTTCTGTCAAAGCCCTGAGATTCACCCCTGGTGCCACCCCTTGTTTCTGGGTGAGGCAGGAATAATTCATCAGCCTGCTGATCGTTGCCCTTCCTCTGAAAGCCGAGTCATGTGGAAACAGAGGGAAACAAGCCAGCTTTGCCTTCGTTCCCTTTCTTTTGTGCACAGCAAGTCTCAGACATCCCATGCTCCTCTCTCAAGTCTGTTTTCCACAGGAGGATTTCTCTGAGAGCCGAGAAACTCAGCCCTTGAAGTTCAGCACAGAATGTGGGACCTAAAGCAGAGCTGTTTTAATTTTCAGCACTTTGATTAAATATGAGCCAAAACCAAGCAAAATAAAACTTTAAGAAGGTGGAACAAAAGTCTGAACAGTCTCTCCACTCATCATGTGATATCTATTTATTTTTCAGGCATCTACAGCATCTTTCAGGGAAGGAGATATTATGTAAATAGGCAGCAAGCACATCACCTACTTTCTGTGGTTTTTTCTTTTTAAACATTCAATTTTTTTATAACTGGGAACATGATGGAAAGGGTTCTTCTCCAAGCCTCTTTTAAAAATCAGTAAGCAAGGGACGACGAATTTCAAGAACTGCCCAGAGATGCAACAAAAGCACATTAATTTCCTCCTTCACCTCAGTGCAGTCCGCAGTCCTCGGTTACTGCTTTTTGGAGGCCCACACAGAACAAGATCCTGGAAAAGCAAACAATCCCCCCCCCCCACCAAAAGTAAAAATATCTCACCAACAGTATGCTTTCCATAGAGAAGCTGCTCCAAAATCGCAGTCTTTCCCACCGAGGCCATTCCGCAAACCACCACCTTGTAGCCCTTTCCCATCTTTCCCGAGAGGGCAGAGTCAGCAGGCGAGCCCTGTGCAGACACAGGAGTCCGTTAGCCTGGCGCGGTGGCAGAGCTCGGCACCAGCCAGAAGCAAAGCCCCCGAAAGGCGAGAGGCAAAACGCGAAACAGCGGGTGACTCCGAGGCACAGCTCCCTCCCAGGCGCTCACCAGCGACTGATATTTTTAGGACTAGAGTTTCCTCCCACACCATTTTTTAAGGTTTTAGGCGGCTGCCATCGGTGCCGGTGCTTGCCTGCAGCCTCGACACTCGTCCCGTCGGGCTCGGGGAGGCTGTTTGCGAGCGCTGAAGTGCGCAAACCCTCTGGGGCAGGGGCTGTGCTTGTTGGCGTGCGTGTACACTGCAAGACTTGCGTTACCGGGCTTCGTGTTTTTGCTGCGGGCCTGATGGAATCTGGTGGTATCAGGATGGCTTCTGGAAACGCGACAAAACAGCGGTTCCTGCCCTTTTATTTCACGCACAGAAAGTTTCTAGCTTTTACAGACTAGGAGCTAGAGAATAGGAGCGTTAAAGGCAGAAGCACAGGAAAGCAAATGCAAAAGCAAGTTTTTTGGTCTGTTTTAAATCGGTTTGGATGGGCAGCGGTTGGTTTTAGCAGGAGGCCCCCAGAAGCCAGGGGCAGTTCCCTCTGCAAGTGAGCCTGCCCTTTTATTTCACGCACAGAAAGTTTCTAGCTTTTACAGACTAGGAGCTAGAGAATAGGAGCGTTAAAGGCAGAAGCACAGGAAAGCAAATGCAAAAGCAAGTTTTTTGGTCTGTTTTAAATCGGTTTGGATGGGCAGCGGTTGGTTTTAGCAGGAGGCCCCCAGAAGCCAGGGGCAGTTCCCTCTGCAAGTGAGCCACAGCAGGGCGGCCAGACCCT